CAACTCTTGATTGTCAAAAAATAGATTTTTACAATATAATTTTATTACTTATTGTCTCCTCTTCTATTATAATTAAAATTATAATTAAAGTGTGTTATCTAAAAATAAACAATGTTATCATACTCTTAATTAATGTTGTTATATATTTATTATGACTGATTTTTATGTTATTTTTAACCTCATTTTAATATTTAAAAATTAATTTTTTATATAAAAAAATAACTCGGTCTTTTAATGAAACGTGCGAGCGGAGGCTAGATCAAATACTAATATAATTATCAGTCATTATGAGGATACATGATACGTAAATTTTAGACAAAAGCCACTTAATTGATAATAGAAATTTATAAACCAATGTGTATTTAGACATTGATAATGATGTCATAAATGTGCATTTAAATTGAAAAGAATACACACACACTCTTTTTAACGATACCAAATCTTGGCAGAAAGCCTTGTACATGGAGGGGAAGGCAGGAGACTAATAACTTGAAAAAAGCAAGCTAAATGATAAGCACATACTATATATGATAGAGTTGAGCTATTGTTTATTTCTAAAATTCTATCATATCTATAATAACTCTTTTCCTCACAAGAAAAGGTATATTGTTTTCTTAAATATCTTGTATAATTTTTTCTCCTTCTAAACCTGTACTTATCTCTTAGTGTATTTTATTTTAATATACTTAAAGGTGTTAAAGCAATTCAATTAATACAAAAATAAATACCAACATGAAAAAGAAAAGGATTAAAATTCTCTTTAATTGATTTGTCTAAAAGTTATTACTTTAATCTAAATACAAATAGCTTATATATAAATTAAGTTAAAAATATTATTTTACTTTTAATAAATAAAATAAAATAAATATATTATTTAACAAATAGCTTATTATTAGTAATCCAACTTAAGAATTCTCTAGGAACTTAATATAAATATATAACTACCTCAGTTTTTTTTTAAAAAAATCTATATTTTAAACTTTTTAAATACAAGCTCCTCTTTTTTGGTCATCAAAGTTATTTTTATTTTATACTCAAACTTAAAAAAATTAGACCATGTGAATTTGCCCCATTAACTACTGCGAGTGTGTTTATTTTTTACGTTTGAAAAACATCTTTGAAAAATATTTATTTTTTCTACTTTAAATAATTTTTTTATAATTTTAAATTATTTTGATGTGTTATTATTAAAAATAAATTTTAAAAAATAAAAAAATTATTTAATATATTTACAAAAAACAAATACTTTAAAATACTTTAAAAACAACTGCTAAAACAATTACAAACACTACCTAAATAACTGCTAAAAATCTCACAGGCCAATTATCTAATGACATATGGCTGCGTGGGGTTTCAACATCTGGCATGATCAACCATTCGAAGAACCTCTCTTCTCCTGGCCCCAAAAATAAACAGTTAAAATTAAAACCAAGCTCATTCCGAAATCAGCCCATTTTATAGCGTTTACACGAGAGGCCTTAGCTTGGTTTGCTTTCATTAGGGTTACAAGCCCAATTCTAGGCCCAGGAAACTAACAGCAAATGAGGAAACACCAGAGCAACAATCCTTCAAGACAAACTCATTTGGAAAAGTATATCCGAAATACGAGTCTCCCCTTAGGAGACTGCCATGAACACGAGCAAAATTACGAATTATTAAGAGATGTCCTGCACCCATTGTTCTTTCAGACATGCTGCATCCTTCTAATAATTAACAACAAACTACATAAAACATATTTACTAAGTCTAACCAAACAGTAAATGCAAAAGTTGGGAATGAAAAATCACTTTATTGCAGGTGAGCCAAGGCACAACCTCTTGGGAGCAACTATATCCGGGCTGATGTTCCGCAACTGGCCATTCTAATTTGTAAAGCAAAAGCAGACCCTGTTAAGAGAAGCAGCGGCATGGAAAGAGTAAGAATTGGAATAAGAACTGTTGGCAACAGAATCGAACATAAAACAAGACAAGGCGAGTTCCTTTTCTGTATTTTCTCAATCCCAACCAAATGAATATGGTAGATCAAAACATCTAGTAGAATCATTAACCAAAGGAATGATCCAATAAACTCAAAAACCTTGCTCACACTCCATCAGAGTAGCCAAAAAGAGTTAAGGTAGAAAGAAACAACACAAAGGATGAGGGGTCAGCCTGTGAATGACATTTGAAAATTCAAGGCAACTAGTAGTTGCATTTCTGGATTATTTAAAAATCAAGCCAATTGCAAGTTCTTGCTGCCCATAAACAGTTGAGGGAAGGGAAAAAAAATTGATTAAGAATGAATATTTGGGGGAACATTAGCTATCAAAAATTAACTGAGAAAAGGTATATCTTGATGCATACCAATTTTATTTTCTTATCTCCAATGAAGATATTCTCCAAGATGGCTATCCCCTCAAGAATAATAATTCTCCAAAGGCCATCACCCACAAATGTAATATATATATATATATATATCAGAAAATTTTCTAACAAGCTTCATTAATTAATTCTAATTTCTAATTAGTGATAACTCCTGTTCACTCAACATGGACAACTTCTACTCTAGTTAGTTAAGATGTTTTCCATATATGTGGCCATGTGCCACAAATATCCTATCACAATGCTAGTATGCTACAAGTCCACTTAAATGTCCATATTCTATAAGCTACAATATTCATTTTCCTCTGTTCTGCAACGGGTAATGTCTATCACCTCAACAATTAATTATGCATCTCCATGTCCATTTTCCTCACAAGCTCTGCCAATTAACCCTGATAATTGAATAGAATTGAGGTTCATCTCTGGTTTATTCTTAGAAATACCATGCAGATCAAGCATTGAGGACAACCATTTCACAATGCTTCATACCACAGCACATCCATGAACCTCTTTACCTCCTATGCAACCATCCCCATACAAACTACACACTGTCCTATATTTCCATTCACTTTCATTTTTGAACAGGCAACATGTACACACTTTGAATGCAATAATCGTGCCCAAATAGACTCCTATGCCATCACATAATTTCATTCCTCAAATGCCAAACCATCAAAAAACACAAAATAGGACAACGATAATATCATGACACCCACTAAAGCACGGTGGGTGCAAATAGAACCTAGTCGTCTCTTCAGTGTGCTACATCACCAAACCTTATCCTACCTTTGTTTTAACAACAAGTATGTACATGCAGAGCAAGATAGACATACCAAAGCAAACAGAACACATGCAACTAGGTAGATCAAACTTCAGGTCCAAGTTGTTTCAAAAAACTTCCACTTTAAAACCGTGCATCAATATTTTGCACTGTGAAGAACTAGCCAGAGCCTTTAAACAACAATTCTAACACAGAATATTGTAATGATACACTTCCTAACATACTATTATCACTATTACCATCAAAAACAACTAACACGCAAGATGCACAAGACCTAGAAATTGAACAGCCTAGCAGGAGGCAGCTAATATACAGATTGAGCTCATCAAAGCCCAAACAAATCCAACTCAAGCTACCAAGCAACTACTGAGCACAAAACAACAATTAAATCACTGCACAAAGAAAAAACAAAAGAAGGAAGAAACATTATTATTTGATGCAAACATAGGTCAAACATTGAAAGAAAACTATCTAAAGCTGTAGTAATAATAAAGCTTCAAAGAAGCCCAATATTTTAAACTTAATAATTTTAAAATAACAAATCAAAATATTAGAAGAACCTGAATTGTATAAGTTAAGAAAACCATGATCAAACAAAACCAAAGCTATCACTCAACTACAAACAACTAGATTTCATGCTAAAAAAAACAAGATATTAATTGTGCCATTCACCATAGTGTGTTATCATATACCGCAACACTGCTACTTGTCCACCTACATACACAGCCATCTCTAATAAACAGCATCCCAGTTTTACTACCCACCTCTGACGATACTACAAGTCTCAGTAGCCATTCTTTCAAACAGTTCAGCTAGTCAATCCTACTAAATGGATACAGTTGCTTCTTCCACAAATTCTTAATCACTATTATGCAGTGAGAAACCCAAATTTAAGCAGAACTTTATCATGCTACGCACCTACATGACACTGTCTTGACACACCCCCATCCATGAACCTTGCCTACCAAGGCAACTATCCCATTATATATCATTCATTTCCCTATAACACTCTTAATTAGTCAATTCTCCAACTGGCTTCTTGAACAATCCTAACAGTTTGAACTCATGCTGCCAAACTAGACAACACCAAAAAGAACAAATAAAGATGCAAAATATTTCAGAACATAAAGCTTGCTAGGTACTAATGAAAACACATTAGTCCACCTTCCTCACAAAATTATAAACCTACATTCTCTCAAGTGACCCCCCTAGCTACCTTTGTTTTTGTAGAAGCATTTGAATGCACATCAAGAATCCGATATACTCACATCAAAAAATGATTATATGCATCCTGTGCATGCGGAGCTCCAGGTCCAAGTTGCATTACATAATTTCCACAATAGCATATTTACATTTCTGCCACACAGTAGTGAAACACCCAATGCCTATATATTATACAGCAACCATGAATTTTCTGACATACTAGAACAACATGTCTTTAGCATCCCAAGTCCTAAATCCTGACCTGACCATCACTGAGTCAGGAAAACTCATAATATCTCAAGCATCTAATACACGGAAAACATCACAGAAGACTTCTGGATAATCATATCATTTAATCACATTGGTATTTAGCTAATTCAAATTTAGTGATCCAGTTCATCAAGGAACTGTAAGCTAAAACCAACATATAGTCAAAATAGAAAAAAATATTAAAATTACGAGCAACAAATTCCCAAACTACTAAGCTGCTACTAAAACAATGAATCAACAATTCTCATCGGCAAACAAACACAGTATTAAGTCATATTTATATTAACATGATTAAATCTCAAATTCAAAGAAAAGAAAGCGCTTCCACACAGCCAATTCAATTCACATGTTAGCTGAAAAAGAAAATTACAAAACTACCAGAAACATTAACCAAAAAAAAAAGCTTGCATTAAAATTATGCAAATTCCAAAAGACAGTCAATCAATCAGTAGGTCAAAAAACTTTTAATCTGAGTACACATTATTATCAACAACCCCAACAAAACCCAAGAAAGTTTCGCAAAAAACAAGCATACCCGGATCTCCAATTTCACTCAGAATCAGAAGAACCGGAGAGGCCCAACTTCTCCGTCTCGAGTCGTTCAAGTGCTTTCTGATGAGCCCAAGTTTCAATAGTGAGATCAGGCTTAGCATTGAGACCAACACCAAGGATCACAATCGTTAAGAAGCTAGTGATGTAGCAAGGCAACTCCCAGTCTTCCCATTTACGAGGCTGTCCAGGTGGTAGTGGGGTCCGATTGAATAAGTAACCTTTCGGTCGTTCCTCGTGTCCCGGCGATGTCCATCTCCCAGATGATGCTCCGCCGCGGGTTCTGAGGGCGGAGGAGATTCGGTGGCGGAGCATGGAGGATGCCGTCGTGAAGGGCATTGTTTTTGGGTTTTCTGATAGTGGTGTGTGAAGAAAGTCCACAGAAGAGAGTGTGGTTAATGCGAGAAGTCTGTTTTGAAGGTAATTTGGGAATAAGGCAAAACAGCGTCGTTTTCTAGTCTGATTGTGTTTATTTCTTTTAACATTTTTAATTGGAAAATTATAAAATGAAAATTAATTTCAATTTAATTATTATTAATTAAAAATAAACTAAAATGAATTTTTCTTTTATTATGCATCACCTCATAAAATATTATTTATTTTAATAATATTTTTTTTGCCTTTAATTTTTATATTTTTTAAAATTTATATTTCTTTTTTAATTTTATATTTTAAGATTTGATTTATTAAAAATTAAACTTCATAATTTATTATCATCTGTTTCATGTATAGTTAGTTTAATCTCATAACTCGTGTCACAGATTTAGTGGATTAACTTAGTTGATTAAATATTTTTTTATTTTTTTTATTTTATCCTTTAACATTAAATTGATCAAGAATTAAACTTCATGGTTTATTTCAATTTATTTTTTATGAGATCATTTCGATCTCATGGCTCAAATAGTTGGTTTGGCGAGTTAACAAAGTTGACTAGAGTTTCTTTTAATTGATATTTTCTTTAATTTTATCATTCAATATTGGGTTGATTAATAATTAGACTTCATGATTTGTTTTGATTTGTTTTTTATGAGGTTATCCTAGTTTTATGACCTAGATCACGTGTTTTGTAAGTTAGTTTAGGTAGACTTAGATTGTTTTATAGTATTTGTTTTTAAATTATTTTTTTAATTTTATCTTTTAACAATGAGTTTATTGAAAATTGAGTTTTATAATTTATTTTGATTTACTTTAAATAGCGTTATCACAATCTCATGACCTTGATCACAAATTTTACAGATTAACTTATGTTGGCTCAAGTCATTTTTTCTCTTTTATTTTATCTTAATTTTATAAATCATGTAACAAGTTTGCAAAATTAACTCAAATTAATTTTTTTATTATTTTTTTAATTTTATTATTCAATATTGAGTTGATTAAGAATTGAGTTTCATAATTTATTTTAATTTGCTTTATATAAGTTATCATAATCTTATAATCCAAGTTGTGAATTAGTCAAATTAACATGGGTTGGTCTAAATCAAGTCAATATGTTGTCATTTAAATATTTTTAAAAAAAAATTATTAATTTTTATAAATCAAATTATATTTTTACTTATCATTGAGATTACTTTTAGCATTATATCATTAAATTAAGTCATATCGACTTAATCTCTATATTATTTAGATTTTTTTTTAGAAAAAGATTAACAAAAACTAAATATTTTTTTATATGTTAAAAGAATTGATATAAGCTTATAGGGTGAAAACGACATATTCATCTCTATAGTTATTTTGAATGTACACCGACTAACCCATTTTAAATTTCACAGCCTTACTATTTGTTTTCTCTATAATACATTTTATTTTATATTTAGTCTAGAAGCCATTGCCAGCTTCTCATTATGGCCTATAAGTATTTTCTCCTTGCTCCTCATCCATACCATATAAAACGTAACTCTAGTCAGAAACATATCGAGCTTCCTTGAATTTCACCGAGAATTCTTTTACCTTCGAAAATACCTCTTCTCTCCAAGGATGGGACAGGTCCCTTGCATGAAAAGGATGAAGGGTTTGGTCAACTTCAATCCAGCTTCTTCCAGGCTCCTCTTTCACAGCTAGCCTTCTCCATCATTAACTCCTTCACATTTCTCACATCTTCCATCCTCTCTGCAGAAGCATATAAATTTGAAGGAATGACACAGTTCCCAGCATTTTCAGGCTCTATTTCTACCAGATGGCGACCCACAAATTCGTCAAAATTAGTATTTGAATGGACTCTACAAGCACCTAAAAGCGAACCCCAAATAGCAGCGGTGGGTTCAAAAGGCATCTTTTTGATAAAAGCAAAAGCACTCGGCCAGCACGCCCATAATGCTCAATCTCTGCGTCGACCACATCGTTCCCCTCCACCATCTCAGCAACGATTTCCAGCCCTTTATCATCCAATCCTCCATGGCTGTAGCCAGAAAAGTGACACTGTCAGGTTTGACTTTACTCTCTTCTTCCATCAATTTGAAAAGTTCGAGCACCTGATCTTTCCCACAAGCATTGCATTCCATGAAATAACAGTTCTCTCAGGCATGTTATTAAAGATCTTTGTTGAGTAGTCAAGGTTTCCACATTTTGAGTGCATATCAATCAGAGAATTCTGTAGAACTACGTAAAAGGGCAATTCACATCTAAGCACATGGCTGTGAACTTGTTTGCCATATGATGCAATGTAGCAAGCCCAGAAAGTGCACTTGACACCCTAGCGTAGGTAACATAAGCCCTTAATTACGTTTAAGGTTTTCTTTTCTTTCTTTCTTTTTTGACATCTTATGTTTAAGGTTTACAAATCTTGAAGAGCAGCCAAGTAAAATGGTGCTATTTGAAAGAATAAAAATGTGTTCAGCCCTCTAAACTACTGGTTGAAGTGCGAGCAATCCCTAAACAAATTATTAGGAAAAGTAGTCCTTGAACAAATTTTGACATTTAATCACATCCTTTGTTATCTAAAACTATGATCAACTATAAACTAAAAACAAAAAAAAAATGTCTTCCAGTATTATTCATTAGAATAATATTTTAATTTTTTTAATTAATATTTTTTTAATTTAATTTTTTATTATTAATTTTGTTTTTTATTGAGTTATCACACTCTCATGACACAGATCACGGGTTTAAAAGATTAACTCAGTTTGGCAAGTTAATCATGTTAGCTCAGGTTTTTTTAATTAACTTTGTTTTTCTAATTTCATTATTTAATATTGGGTTATTTGAGAATTAGGCTTCATAATTTGTTTTATTTATTTTTATTATATTATTTTAACCTCATGACTTGGTAATAGTGTTTAAAGGGTTAATCTGAGTAGACTCGGGTTGTTTTTTGTATTTTATTTTTAATTGAATTTTTTCTCCAATTTCATTAGTCAATACTGAATCGATTGAGAATTGAGTTTCATAATCTGTTTTGATTTGATTTCTATAGGTATATCTTGGTCTCATAATCAAGATCGCTAATTTTGATATTTTAATCACAATTAAATCAGTTATTTTTTTCTAAGAGATTATTTCGGTCTGATAACTCAAGTAAAAATCCTTCAACATTGAATTTTATTTGCATTGGTTTGTCCTCGTCTCATTACTTGGATTACGAATTTGACAAGTTAACCGAATTGACTTAATTTTTTTAATTCATCATTTAATATTGTATTTAATTGAAAATTAAATTTCATGATTTATTCTGATTTGCTTTTAATATATATATATATATATTTCATGATTAAATTCTTTTTTATTAGAAAACATGGTAACAATATCATTATATTTTTATTAAAAAATATATTAAAAAAAATTGATCTGTGCAACGAGGACAATATTCTAGTTACATATTGCAAAGACCGTTTTCTCAAGATGAATCTTCAAAAGATCACCTGCGCCCCATTGTTTCTATCCAAGAATGACATTGCGGGACGGTCGCTCGCATGGTTTCCTAGCTATTTCATTTGTTTATACCAGGCAGAAAGGAAATTGAGCTAAGAAATTTTATTTAAAGTCTAAGGTCTGAAATCCAAAGGATTACCCCACAGTTCATTTTGATAATGAGACCATCTGATATTTACATTCTCAACCTCGAAGCCCTCGATATATTCCATGATGATACCGGCTGCACCGTGATTAACAACATCCTGGCATCCAGGTCTGTAGTCTACCAACCCACCTGGATAATTTGCCCATCTTCTGCAAGTCAGATTCATGCCACTGAATCTCAGGTTGCTCAGTAGGCCACCTTTAGAACCTAACAAGATGACGCCATATTCAGAATTCGCTGCAAGGTTGGTGAATGGAAGGTTAGATATTACCCTCTTTTGAACTCGGTATCGCAGACAGGTTGTCACATAAATAATAGGCTCTGTTCTCCCCACCATGACCATGACGGATCATAGTATTTTGTGCTAATGATTATGTTTGAGAAGGTGATGTCACTTACATTTCCTGCAAAATAACTAGCAATCCTGTAAAAGTAAGAATAACTAACAATCCAGCAACGTTCCTCATTTGTTACCGGAAATCATCTTGACAAACAGGCTTTGCAGTTGAGCTTTCATCTGTCAAGAGGACAGTATTTCATTGAAGCTCATATTTTAGGTGGCCATCAAATGTTGGGATTGTCACATCAACTAGCCACAGCTCACTTGAGATATAGCAGGGATGAGTTCAAATTATGAATTCTGGGGCTAAACTCCTCAGACAACAATATTTCATCATCAAGGATAAGGGCATGATCAGTATTATTAATTGAACTCAGGTTCCGATTAGAGCCAAAACATAGTTAGTGTCTCAGTCCATTTCATTCGCGGCCATGATTACACATTTGGTAGACAGAAAGACGTCATCCACTCCATATAGCATATCTGACAACCCAGTTAAAAATCTAAACTAGCACGCAATATATAGGTAATAATCTCTAGGGATAACTTTAAAAATGTTGGTTTACTAGTTAAATTTTAAATTTATTTTTTAAAAATTATTTATTTGTGTTTTATAAATCTCAGATTATTATAAACTTATATAGTTATTAACTTCAAAACTTAAAAAATATATATAAGTCAATCATCCACATTAATTAAAAAAATAATAATAATAATCAAACTCGCCAATGATTACCGTATCAACTACTGGTTGATCACATGTAGCAAATCAGCGTAGGTTTTCCTTTCCTTGGAGAACATATTCTCCTTGAAATTACTTGATCAACTTTAAGAAGTCCAGGTACCAGAAGGATTTCCATATCTACATCCAACGAGAATGGAATCCTTGAATAATAACTTTCTTAAGATAAAAAGATGGAAGATACAAAAATAGTGGCAGCAAGGTAACTATGCCAAAAAAAAAAAACATCCGAGTTTTAGTCATCAACGAAAAATGAGCATGGTGTGTTAACCATAACAAAATAATCCTCTAACAAATTGCAAGATGATCCTCATACT